TCCAAACTGAACAGAGTAGAAGAAAACATTTGCAAGCTACACATCAGACAAATGACTGATAGCCAGAATATACAAGGAGCTCACAAAACTAAACTCTCCCAAAATCAATGAACCACTAAAGAAATGGGCAACTGAACTAAGCAGAACTTTTTCAAAGGAAGAAATTCAAATGGCCAAAAAAACACATGAAAAAATGCTCACCATCCCTGGCCATAAAGGAAATGCAAATCAAAACCACACTAAGATTCCACCTCACCCCTGTCAGAATAGCTATCATCATCCTGTTGGTGAGGATATGGGGAAAAAGGAACCCATGTACACTGTTGGTGGGAATGTAAACTAGTGCAACCACTCTGGAAAACAATATGAAGGCTACTTAAAAAGCTAAACATTGATCTACCATTTGATCCAGCAATCCCACTCCTAGGGGTATACCAAAGGAACATGACTCAGATTATTCCAGAGGCACCTGCACACCCATGTTTATTGTAGCACTATTCACAATAGCCAGGTTATGGAAACAACCAAGATGCCCCACTACTCATGAATGGATCAAGAAAATGTGGTATTTATACACAATGGAGTTTTACTCAGCCATGAAGAAGAATGAAATCTTATCATTTGCAAGTAAGTGGATGGAACTGGAGAACATCATTCTCAGCGAGGTCAGCCAGGCTCAGAAGACCAAAAATCGTATGTTCTCCCTCATATGCGGACTTTAGATCTAGGGCAAATGCAGCAATGTGGCTGGACTTGGGTCACATGCTAAGGAGCGAGCACATACAGGAGGAATGGAGATAGATAGGCAACCCAAAACTTGAAAGTGTTTGATGTCCACACTGCAGAGGAGCTAATACAGTAACCTTAAAGCGACAGAGGTCAATATGGGAAGGTGACCAGGAAGTAGTGAAGAGGTCAGGTAGAGATGAATCAATTCGGGTTGTAACACACTTGTGCATGGAAGCAGTGTTAGGAATCTCTTTGTATAGCTATCCTCATCTCAACTAGCAAAAATGCTTTGTCTTTCTTATTATTGCTTATGCCTTCTCTTCAACAAAACTGGAGAAAAAGGCAGAACAGGTTTTGCCTGGAAGCGAGGGAGATGTGGGGAAGAGGGAAGGGGTGGAGGGACAGGGGGGAGAAATGACCCAAACAATATATGCACATATGAATATATGAATTAAGAAAAAAATGAGCTATGACATATTGCTGAAGAAAAGATGAACAGCCTACCTCTTCACTCACCCATCTGAGAAAGAGAGAATAGCAGTCAGGAAACAGATAAAGGAACAAGAACATACACGAAACACATAAAAAAGATGTTCAGCCTCTCTCCAAAGTGTAGAAATAGAAATTAATATTGTAGATTAGTAAAGATCGAAACATTTCACAATACCCAGCATTGGTGGGGACACGATTAAACTGGCGCTTATATATCCTTGTAAGGATGTAAACTGGCTAATATTTTTGGAGATAACTAGGCAAAAACAACTGAGCCTTTCCACATGAAAAAATTTACCCTAGAGATAAACCTACATCAGATTTGTACGTGTAAATGTATATACTAGAATATTCACGGCAATATTGTTCATGAGAGCTGTTAAATAAAATTTAAAGGAGGACAGCCAATGTGGTAGCACACACCTGTAGTCCCCGCTACTTGAGAGGCAGAGGCAGAGCATCCTTTGAACTCAGTAGTTCCAGGCCAGTCTGGACAACATAGTGAGAATTCAACTAAAACAAAAACCAAAATTTATAAGAGGTCATTGGTTTGGACTGAGCTCTTGCACAAGATACCACAGACTAGCCCAAAATGGAGTCACTCATGCTAAAGTTCCAAGCCAAAACTAAATTGTTTATCAGAACTGCTGAGGAATCAGGAGAAAAATGATGGCCATATCCCCAAATAGGACAGTTGTAGCTGGCATAAGTAAATCCTCTCTGCTTTAATCTTTCCAAGGAAAGTAACTTTGAAATGACCAATCCAGTTTTTGTTTGGATTCTACTTTCCTTAGCCCTTTTCTGCTTGCCTTAAGACCAACTGCCTCTGCTCAACTGATGGGAACACTTTGAGTGTTTCTGTAAAATAGAAAATAGAATGAGGTGCTCCCTGATCCTAGAATTGTAAATACAGGACAATTACATCTTTATACTGAATTCATTGTAATTTTGTCTTTTAACTTAGCAAAACAATCACATAGAACCTAAAGGTTTATCAATAGAAGTCAAAAAGTATGACTCAGCTAGGTATGGTAGCCCATGTCTGTAAATCCCAGCACTCAGGAAGCTGAGGCAGAAGAATCATGAGTTCCAGACCAGCCCAGGCTACATACAAAAAGAAGAAAGACTCATTCGTAGACTAGAATAAGTGCGTGGTTATTTAAAAACACAGCACAGAGCAAAGAGGCTGAGGGGAGAAGATCGTGGTTCCGGGCCAGCCTGGGTAAAAAGTCTGCAACCCTATTTTAACAGAAAAAAAGCTGGGTATGGTGGCTCATACTTCATCCCAGCAATGGCAGGAAGTGTAAACTAAGGGGATTGTGGTTGAGCAAGCTGTGACAAAAAGTGAGACCTTATCTCCAAAATAATCAGAGCAAAAAAGGGCTGGAGGCCTGGCTCAAGAGGTAGAGCACCTGAGTGGCAAGCATGAAGCCTCGAGTTCAAATCCAGTACTGCAAACAAACAAACAAAACACAACATAGAACTTTAAGATTATTAAAGCAAGATCAAACTGTAAAATAATCTAGTAAATAATCTAGCATGTTAAAGTAAGTATATTGCATGTGTGTTATACCTTAATCTACTGGATCAGGAAGGGAAACTGACATTTCCCTTTATACCATCTACACAGTTTGAATGTTTACTTTGACAATTTTCAAAACTAGAAACTAACATTAGACTCTCTACATACATCTATATACAAATCTGTATATATGTTATAAATAAATATTTTTTACAAAGGATTATTTATGGAGCCTGAAATTATCTGCCTTAACTCCCAAGTAATGATTTTGTAGTCAGCATTCAATATTAATTATCCAAAACAGTAACAACTATTACTTATTAAGCACTTACTATGTCCCCTGGTTAGTGTTAAGTACTTTTATGAATAGTGTTCTTTAATGGAAAAAATAGCCCAGAAAGAGGCCGCTGGGATCCCCAACAAAGGCAATGTCAGTATGAGTTGGGGATGAGTGGTCACTGTTCTCCTGAGCTTGAGAAGCCCGTAGGTTCAAAGTAAAAAACTAAATAATGCAATTTAGTGCAATAGTTTATTTCAGGTACAAGTGTTATTCCTAAGTTATAAGATGGTCAGGAGTTTGGGAGTGTTCGAAGGTGTGCAAGCTACCTAGTCATCAAACACTTGCCACTCCAGGGAAGTGATACATCTACCCTCATCTCTTTCACAGAGCAAGGCCCTCCGGCAGCTTCATGTCACAGGACTTGTTCTTCAAGCCCCTCTCTTCCTTTCAGCATTGCTTGTCATCCTTTGGAGCCTTGAGGGCACTTAGTCCATGTCCACTGGTCCCAACAACAGAGGCTGGCCCCACGTGGAGTTAGGAGTGGCTCAAGGCTCTTCTCCCTGGGAAATACTCTCCCTCCCCATCACTTCACAAGGGGGAGGAGATAGGAGCAAGCCTTGTTTTTTGTTTTGTTTTGGGATTTTTTTGCTTCCTATCTGCTAATCCTGTGTTCTCTGTGTTCAAGCTTATTAAGAGGAAAAGAACTTATTCTCGGTTCAACCTTTGGAACTAGGAAATGAGGCTTTGACCAGAATAAAACAGCACTTTATAGATGTCATCTAATTTATTCATCATGAAAACTTCGAGGTAGAGTTCATTATCTGCACTGAAGTAAACAGGGCTTTTAGAGATACTAAGAAACCCGCCCAAGGTCATGCTGCTGATAGATCATGGCAAACCCTGAGCTGATCCCCTCTAAAACCCTGGCTAATTAGCTAATAACCAGGCCCAGCAGAAGAGCTGTGGGCACTGCTGAATTAGCAGATCACTGAGGTTAAAGGCAGTAAAAAATTCTCAGTCTTTCTCTCTTTCCATTGAACTCACAATTACTGAGCATGCTATATTCTCTGTAGCAAATTATCTTGGTTTCTTTCCAAAGCTCTTTTGAGGACTTACAGGGAGGTCAAGCCCTGTGCCAAAGTTACCCAGCCCACGGATGGTGAGGTTAAGACTTGCACTCAGGCAAGAGCAGCTTTCTGAGGTGTGTTGATAAGGGTACTTCCTGTGCCAGGAACTAGGCTCCTGACACTTGGTGATGGAGCATTCATTTGAAGTGACATCCAAACATTACACAATATGCTGTTACTAAGAATGTGACTATCAAACTTTTACACTTCCCCTCTTCCTTCAGACCTATCCATTAGCTCATTAATCTATCCAAAATGGCCAGAGGAGAAACCCACACCTGCTCATTTCTTTTTGTTATAAACTTGTTTTGGACCAAATAATTTTTTTAGAAAGGTTCAGGGATGAACTTATTGATTAAAATGAGTCTGGATTTAATTTATTCTATCCCCTCCCTTTTTCATTAGGAAATGTGAGGAGGGGCAGCTGGCAGTTCAGAGAGAGGCTTTGCGGCCAGACAGCCCAGGCTGCAATCCTAGACTGCCACTGATTACGAGTTTGCTTGTGTGCTCAATTTGCTTCTTGATGATGAGCATATTAGCAGAGTTGTGGTAGAGATAATGCACTGGCAACCGTGCAGGTGCCACGGAGGCCCCCTCCGTGCAGGTTACTTTACAGATTATCCTAGTCCATTTCTCGAGTGAGGCTAACTTGCTGTTTTTAACCCTGCTCTAAAAAAATAGACAGAGGTGGGAGGCTTACATTAATCAAAATGAATAGGAATGAAGTGCTCTGGTGAGACCTTTGGAGACAATGAAAGGCACTGGCTAAAGTGAGAGTTAGGCAGCATGTCTGCTTTGTTCCATCATGCTTGTCTGCTTCCACCAGCTGTGTTTCCTCAGGAGGCCTTACCTCTCTGGGAAAGACTGGAAGAGGATCAGTTCTGTATTTTCATCAGGGAGCAGCAGGAAGAACAGTGCTGTTCTCTGCGGGTGCCGGAGCTCCTGAGTGACATTCCCATCCACTGGGACTGTTCTGGGTTGTCGTTCCTCTATTATGATACCAGCACCCCCTTCTAGACAGCCAGGATGAGGGGCACCACCGATCACAGAGCACCACCATATACTCTGCTAGCCTGTCCACATCCCAAAATTCACGACCAGCACTCTCAACAAAACAAGCCAATCCATCAAAAACTTTGAAAATCCTAAACAGGCTGGAAGAGTCACCTCAAAGAGACAAAATATTCTTCCCTTCCTGAAGCTGAATTTAGGCTTTCTGGTCACAGATTATCCTTCCGTCATCTGTAAATGAGGAAAATAAGGCAGCCATTGCTTTTGGTTAGCTCTATTTTATTTTTATTCTATTTTCTTATTTGTTTTGCCTTCTGGAAACACATGCTTAGAAAATTAATAACTTGGCCTGACATGGCAGTACCTGCCTATAATTTCAGCTATTTGGGAGGCAAAAGTAGGAGGATATCAGTCTGAGGCTGGCCAAGCAAAAAGTGTGAAACCCTATCTGAAAAATAAGAAAATAAAAGGGTTGGGGAGCATGGTTCAAGTGGCAGAGGGCTTGCCTAGCAAGTGCAAGGCCCTGAGTTCAAAATCTAGTACCACAAAAAGTGAGGGGTATTACTCTTGGTGGTACTGGAGATTGAACTCAGGGCCTCACACATTCTAGGCAAGCCCTCTGCGACTTGAACCACACCCCTGGTCTCTTTGTATTTTATTTTTGAGACAGCTTCTCATTAATTTTGCCCAGGCTGACCTTGAACTTTCAATCCTCCTGCCTCCACCTCCTGATTAATTTCCATTTTAAAGCTGTGGTGAATTTGTCAAAAATAGGCCTTTTGTTATCATTTTCACTCTGTCTTTACAGATATGAGAAAAACTCATGGATCATCTATCACTCCAATGGCTGCATTTGAAATCAATCAACAAAGTTTTGAGTACAGTTTTATAGCTTCTATGATTCTGTGTGATGTGGTCACAGAGTAAAATCCAAGTCCAGGTGAAGGAAAGGTCCTGAGGAGGGACCTTGGGTTTCAATCACCTGAGGCAGGATATCCATCCAGTGGGAAAATCTTATCCTCACTGGCTCATCCTGAAAGTTCTCCTCCCACCATTACATTTCAGGGGATACAAAACCCATCCCTGGTGCCACAACAGATCTCAGAGAGACCCACAGAGCAGGACACTGCTGAGAACCAAGGCCAGCAGTTGGCAGGCAGAAACAGACAAGAGAGTCCCTCTCTGTCATTCCAGTGTTTCATGTATCTTTTCATTTGGCATGGCAACAAGAGAGACCAATTCAAGTTCAGCTCAGGGACACTGAGTACACTAATGGAGAACCTCAGGCAAACACAGACACAAGACCCAAAAATTCTCTGCTCTTGATTAAAAAGGCCTCAGATAAAGAAGGAACATTCCAGTGGAGGTGGCCTGAGAGACAGAACAGTACTGGACCAAGAAACAATGCTGCAGAATGGCCCTGGAAACATGGAGGCCCAGAGGAACATCTTCTCCAGGGTGAGGTCGCTGCTGACTCCCAGGATCAGAACTAGAAGTTACTACTCACATCCTTGCAAAGCTCTTGAGTTTGTTATACACTTACTAGGGAAATTGTGTTTAACTGCCCAGTGCTTTTAGGCCTTCTTACCAAGCATTTTATTGTCTTTATTAGTTTCCAAATAAAAGAATCCCTTTTGCTATTATTAAATATCTGTGTGTGTGTGTGTGTGTGTGTGTGTGTGTGCACAAGTGTGTACCAGATGAACCTGATAACTGTTGCCAGGTTCTAGGTACCTCAGAAAGACAGAGGAGGTAGGGGTTCTCCATATACCAGCCACACTCGGTGTCCTAACAAATCTAGACCATGTCTGGTTGTCTTCTAATACACAATTCAAATCAAGAAGTACCTGTTGAAAAATTAGCGTGGATAAGGCCTGTGCTAAGAACAACAGCAGGCACAAAGACAAATAAGACATGGTCCTTGCCTAGCAAGTGCTCAGAGTCTCACAGGTCAGGCAGTTATGGAAATGGCCATATTTTGAAGGGGAGTATGAGAAACACCAGAACCAAAACCTCAATACAGTCAATGAACAGGAAATCAGCAAACATTCTGCTTGAAGGAACAGAAGACTTTTGGGAGAAGGTGAAGAAGCCTTGGCAGGGCTGTCAAGAATGGAAGACAGCAAGGTTACACAGCAGGAAAATAAAGGAAGTATTTGGGGAATGGACGAGGTATGTGGCAGATACGAAAGAAGTACAAGGCACATTTCTTGTCTTTAAATGGCTAACATTCAAGGGGACAAGATGCTTTTATGAGACAAAGCAATTCAAAGCTGAACCACGGTAAAAGAATTGAGGGCTAGGGACTTTGGAGTCATAAGAAGGTACAGGTTGGTCTGAGGCACCAAGTCAAGGAAGACATGTAGAGAGGCAGAGCTTGATCTGTCTCTTCATGCTCCAGCTGTCATGGTCAGAAAAGTGCTCTCAGACATGTAAGGGAGGTGGGCTGTGCACACAAGCCAGGTGAGTGGAGCCTTGCTTCCCATGGGGGGATGAGAGGTTTGGAGGTTCATGCTGAAGAGCAGCTGGAGATAAAACTATAGAGGAGGAGAATAAACTCAGCAAATCAGAAAAGCCAGGAGTTGGTGTGTGTGACCATATGGTTGGGAGTAGATGGCTGATGCTGTGCTTAAGTAAATGAATATGTTTTGGGTTGAAAAGGATGCATTAGGAAGAGCTGTGTGCAGTGTGAAAGCCTGCAGTCACCAAGTGACTGGGAGATTGACAAGACAAAGACGGCAGGAAAAGTGAGGAAGAGGGAAGCCAGAAACATATCCCAAAGAACATGTGAAATCGGCTGACAAGCTGGAGGGCACATACACAACCTACCAACTGCTTACTATGTGCAAAGCACTGTATTAGATGTTAGCTTAATGCAACAAAAAACCCCTCCACGTCTTTTAATTGAAGCATTTTCAACTTGAAAACTTCAATATTTGTCATGATTTTCAATAAATTTTTACTAGGATATATTCGTTATATAGGGGAGATTCATAGTGACAATTCAGATTAGTCTTATATTGTACATTAGTTACATTGCTCCCATTGTTTCTCCCCTTCAACCCCCTCACCACCCCACTTAAAGCAGTTGCAAGAGCTTTCTTTGTTCTATTTCATATAGGTATATGAATTCCATCAACCATATACTCTTGTCTTAATCACCTTCATTCACCCTCCCCCCTCGACTAGCACCCCCCCATACATACTGTACCTATTTTATAGTCCTGTCTTTTGTTATTAATATTTAAGTTGATGTTTAAAGGGGTTTCTCAATGCATGCCCACTGTGGGTATACTTTACTTTGGTCTGTTCAATCCCCTCAAATACTCTCCCTTACCCCTTTACCTCCCACCCCCCATATTTCAACAGCTTTCAATACACATCCTTATATCCTCCACCTCTACATCTTATGTTTTATATTACTGATGCTCTATCATCCTCTTTTCCTCTCCCTCTTTCCCCGAGTTCTATAGAGTAATTCCACTATTACAATCATGTTCTACATCTGAGTTTGCATATTATCTTGTTGTTTTTGTGTATATGTTTACCTTCTGGATCTGTCTTCCACATATGAGAGAAAATGTGTGGCCTTTGTGTTTCTGAGCCTGGGTTACTTCACTTAACATGATGTCCTCCAATTGCATCCATTTATCTTCAAACCACATGTCATTTATTCCTTATGGCTAAGTAAATGTCATGACTTTTAAACTGTTAATCCATCAACAAACTATCAAAATTTGTCTATCTTCTGATGTTCAGCTGAGGCAAGGAAAATATCAGAGCAGGTAAAATAAATGTAGTAGAGTTGGGGAGTTTTAAAATATACTGAGTTCTTTATCTAACAAGTCCAGTAGACCATCATTGCTAACTCCAATGTTTTGTGAAATGTTCATCACTAAATTTAACTGTGTGGATGGAAGATAATGGTATACAACTTACAATATTAAAATGAGTACAATGTCCTTCTTACTAGAAAAGATCGTGGTAGATTTTTGAAAGAATGTGACTTGGATTTGAAAATTGCTATTGAAATGTGGTCTGATACTTGTTCTAGAAGTTATTTATAACCAAAGAGTACAATAACTGACAATGATGGATGAGCAAATGTCTCCCTGGGTGGAGGTTGGGGATTATATTGTGAATAAGAATTTGAAAAACAAGCCTTTCTCATTTTAAGCAATGATTGTTTTCCCAAATGAATTCCAGGGAACTTGGGTTTCCTGCGAATTCTATTACTTCATTACAAAACTGCAATACAACAGGACCTATCTTCATTTAGCAGAAGATGTTGTAAAAGATGCTGAATATGAAAAAAAAAATGAAATATACACTTGCAGAACACAAAAACGTTACCAGAAAATAAATCATTATGACTTAGTGTCAAAGAACAGCAGTCGTGTGAATAAAGTAGATAGAATGTTGGCGACATTCCTAGTGGCTACACCAACTCATCTTTTAATGGAATGTCAATTTAAGCTTGCATGAGAACTCAAGCAGAAATGCCTTGTGTATGCAGAATGTTCCTTAAAAAATTCTCTCAAAATGTGGAAAGCTGAGCTGGGCATGGTGGTATACGTGTATAATCCCAGCACTCAGGAGGTTGAAGTATAAGGATCAACAGTCCAAGAACAATCTACACAGGGAGACCCTGTGTTAAGAAAACAACAACCAAAAAAACCATGGAAGACTGAATGTACAATCAACTTATATCTAATGACTAAATGAAAAACAACTCTTTACATTGGAATCTTGTGTTGCACATAATAAAAATTAAATCATCATTTGTCTTGGGATATTTTCTCTCTATGGACAATGAAACACCTATATTTAATTATATTTTGTTTTTTACTTCAGCCATCACAAGTTCAGAGCTAAGTTCTAACTTTTCTCTTGATGTAGATCTTCTATCCTAATTTCATTTTCCCTGATCCTCATCCTTTGTTCTTTACTAACTTTTCTGTGGCTTTGTATATCCTGCTAAGCCTACTCAAACAACTTTGTA